ACGTTGATGATCCTGATGATGATGATGATGATGATGCTCATCATCATCATCATCATCATCATCATCATCATCATAATCATTATCATCATCATCATCAGCATCAGCATCAGCATCAGCATCAGCATCAGCATCGTCATCATTATCATCACCATCATCATCACCATCATCATCTGTGTGCTGGTGTTGGCGAAGACGATGACGACGAAGCTAATGATGATTGTGATGATGAGGATGTTGATGGTGATACTGATGATCATCATGGTCATGACGAAGATGACGACGAGGAAGATGATGATGATGGTTCTGAAGGTAATGAGGACGATGATGGTAATGGACCTGATGATGATCAGCATGGTGATGATAGTGATGGTAGCGAGGATGGTTATGGTGATGCTGATGAGGCTGATGATGAATATGATGATCATCATGGGTGTTGTGATGATGCGGATGATGATGACGATGATGATGATGATGATGATGATGATGATGGTGGTCATGATCATGGGGATGATGGTGCTGGTGATGGTTATGAAGATCAGTATAATGATGTTGATGATGATGGTGACGATGATGATGATGATCATGACGACGACGACGAGGATGATCATGGTGACGATGACGATGATGATGACATGATGATGTTGATTGTACTGGTGCTGCTGCTGGTGCTGTTCATGAAGACGAAGATGCCAAGATGGTGATGGTGATGGTGATGGTAATGGTGATGATGATAACGCAGATGACATTGATGATAATGATGATGAAGATGATGATGATGATGATGATGATGATGATGATGATGATGATGATGATGATGATGATGCCAGAGGATCGGCAAAACGCAGCGAGCGTTCGGGCCCAGTCCCCCTTCGCCCTCATGTTCGGGATGATCTGGCCTTGACGAGTACCCCTCAAGTGTGATAAACGAAACTAGAAAAGATGTGACACAAAACAATGGCTTAATGCTGCGATAGAGAACGAGAAACAACATCTTTAAACATGTCTCCACGTCTCCACCAGGCCCAGCACAAGTTGGAAGAGGAGAGGCTGTTCCGCCAATCTAAGGAGCCCCAGTCCGAGCCGCTGGCGAAGGTCTCGCAGATGCGCGCCAGCCTCACATGGCTGCTGAAGAAACGCAGAGTCGGTGAAGAGGCGGCGGCAGCAGGAACGCCGGCAGCGCAGGAGGATCCAGCGGGGGCAAAAGGAGGGGCTTCCGCTGCCGAAACTGCAGCAGGCGCGACCCCGCCGCCGCCCAACGAGGAGGAGCAGCGGCGCCGGGAGGAGCAGCGGCGCCGGAAGGAGCTGCTCGCCGAGATGCGCGGCCGACGTGGCCAAGGGCGCTGGCAAAGGCACTGCTGGGCGTCCTGCTGCTCAGCCCACTGCTGCGTCCGCATCTGCTTCTGGCGGCTCTGCCGAGGGCCGACCGCGGGTGACCCCACGCCGGGCGTGTGGGCCGCCCCCGAGACCTACGCCACGGAGAACTGGACCATCATGGGGGCCAACGTCAACGCCTGTAGCAGCGTGTCCGAGCTGCTGCAGTGGGTAGACACCGAGACCGCGGCCGGCAGGCTGGAGGATGCAGGGCTTCGCGCGGATGCTCCGCGGCCCCTATCTGTTAGGTTGAGCTGATCTCTGCTCACAGCCTGGCCAAGAGGGAGCACATGCGCGCCACGCGTGGCAGGGCGCGCTCCACTGGTGACGGAGCTTCGTGTAGCTCTGGCGGCGTCTCGGTGATGGTGTACCGCGAGCTGGCCTCGGCTGCAGTGCAGGTCGAGAGCTCGGAGCTCACCCACAGAATGTGCGGCAGGCGCCTTGGGGTGGCGCTACCTGGCGGAATCCCCCCGCTGTCGGTCTACTGTGAGACCAGCGTCGGGGCCAAAGGCAATGCCAACCTGTTCAGCTTCCTAGCGAAGCTCGTGCTGAGCCTCGACGTGATGTGGGTTGTCTAGGCTGACTGAAACATGACGCCCGAATAGCTGGAGAGTCTGGCTTCCTGTCCCTGGTGCGCGTGGCCATGGTGGTGCCAGATGGCGCCCCTTTTCTGGAGTGACAGTGTTGATGAGCGACGTCGGCATGCTACATGAGGCATCGAGGCAGCTCGCACCATCGACTACTTCGTGGACTCCAAGGCGATGGCGAGCTGCGTTGTCGGGGTCCGCGCCCACCCCGACGCGCCGTTGAATCCACATGCGCCCGTTTCTCTGCAGCTGGCTGGCCTGCAGAGCCAGAAGATGGTCGAGGTGCCAGTTTGCTTCAAGACCTTCGACGTTCATCGGCTGATCGGCCCCAAACTGGACGAGTTGGCCTTCGACTGGAATTTACCTGCGGAGACGCGCGAGGCGTGTCCGATGGAGCAAATGGTGCAGGAGTGGTTCAACTTCGCTGAGCAGAAGTTACTTCGGGACCAGGGCATCGACCTGGACAAAGCCCGCAAGTACACTGGCAGGAGCCGAGGGCCGCAGACCAAGGAGGTCCCCCTCGGCGATCTCTGCGCCCGTGA